TAAAAAAATGAAGTTTATTATGAGTGTATTCTTTACAGCTTTAAATGCTACGTTTAACAGCCCTCTTTTCATGGGAAATCCCCAAGAATGGGTTCGTACTTGGCCGCGGGGGACGTGGGGAGTATCGCAAAAGTAGGCTCGCTAGGCATCAAACAGTACAAAGGTGTCATTGCTAAGGGTAATGGAACGGACGGAAAGCTTCAGAAGACCCGGATGTAAATAGGAATACAAAATAATAAAAGATTTATTAGCAATATAGCAAGAATAAATAAATAAATGTCAGTTTATAGCATGAACTCGTAAGTACGTAGATGACTAAATAATACGTCTCAAACAGATTCGTGCGTGTTGTCCTTTACAAACCCTAAACAAACATCTGCTTGCATGGATAAAAGCACCTGAAATTAGAATTTACACCTTTCCACCACCTCTGCGTAGGAGCCTAATGCACGGCGCACGGACCAAATCGATCAGAGATAGCCGAGCTTCTCTTTCACTCATTTGAAGGGAAATATGTGTTTTGAAGGCACACTGAAGTTTCCGAAGGTGTATCCTCACAATGGCACATAAGGAGTCAATTTTTCGGGTGGGTCAGAGGGTGGCGCATCTGTGACCCATCTAAAATATCTCCTGAACTAGTGGGTCTTCAGAAAAACCGTGAAGCTTGTTGGAAAGAGAAAGGATGGAGGGGTTTCAGGACGTTTTTAATCCTGATGAAATTGCGTTTGAACGAAGCAATCCTCGCGTGAAGCATGGAAACCAGCTCGCGATTTACCCCTAGCCTATCCAAAACCCATCCGGAATATTTCACCAACGGGGGATTGTTCAGTTTGCAACTAGGTAGAATACACAACAGTAGAAACTTTGCCGTTGCATGCTGCTCACCATTCCTCAAAAGCTCCGCACCTAAAAAAGATATAACCCCCCGAACAGACCCCAGGACGTTGGCAAGTCCAACAACCGCGCTCCAATGACGTTTTTCCAAAGAAAGCGGTCGCAGCCTTGCGCCCTGCAGCCTGATCGATAATAGCCAAGTATGGAACGATTTACTGCCGGCCTGGTTATCCTTTTTTCATTTAGCTCTGCATTTTTTGTATTTTCCATGTTTCGCTTTGTTGTGTCGTGCATGTTTTCATTATTTCCCCGTCACCATTCATTGAATGCACATCTGGGCCCTGACACGCTCACCTTGGGGCTATTTTTTTCACCAATTCAGCCTATCAATGATCACCATTAGCCGCTATTTCAATTGTGTTTCTTGTTACAAGTTGCATTCATACATAGTTATCGAACGAGGAGTTTTTGAATCCTAAGACAATTTGTAGGTAATGCGCCTCATATTGCATGAGGCTGAAACAGCCTTTTATTTCCTGTATTTTAGAGCAGAGTGCGCCTTTCGAGAATCCAGATTCCATTTCAGGAAGCCATTTGTGGTGAACATGCATCTGGTTGTCAGTTAGAGCAGGAGGGGGGGGGTCGTATCTGGACCCTCTTCGAGGGGGGGGGTCGTACCCACACCGCCATTTGACACATCCCCATGCTGTACCCTGGTCACCGCCTCCGCCATATTGTGGCAGTATCAACCATACTTCCCAGTGCGCTTTCCGAATCCTTCGAAGCGCAATGGACTGGCTCTGTTTTACCTTTTGAAATGCTGTAGGCCGTAGCACTCCAAATGTTTTTGAAGTTCAAAAATCAAACAAGAAGCAATATTCGCCAGATTGCTTCTATTGTGTGACCATTTGTTTCCTTTGGTCGACTGAAATATCTACTCATGCGACCCACAGGTAGTACCCCTCATCATGCAGGCTTCAGAAGCCACCACCCCATTCTTTTCCAGAAGTGGTCTTCAGAAGTCACTATCTTGGGACTCTTCAACCTTGCAGTGTCTCGCATTTTAGTGGCACTAATCGTGCGACTCCTCGCATAGGCTATGAAAAAGTCCTCTCGATAAGGACATGCGTAATTGAATTTCAACGAGAGAGAAGGCGTACTTAAGCCGCCTAACCGAGAAGGGGACGTATTTGGCTTTGGGAAAGGAGTCCTTATTGATGTAAAGTGCAAGGCGAAAGTACAGAGGTTCTGGAGAGAGCGTGCGTAGCGTAAGACTTGCAAGTTAGTGCTGTCTCAGCGCAATTCTTGGGATTACGTGTAGTTCGTCTAGGGCACAACACCTAACTCCCTTGAATCATAAAAAAACTACGGCAAAATGATGACACAAATATCAATAGAAGGTACTGTCTTATGGAATGAATGATAACATTTTCGTGCAATACTTCGATGGAACACCTTTCTCACGCCTGAAATACTCTTTGACATGGAGTTAGATGATAGCTAGAATTAGGGATGATGATAGATCAGATGATGATTGGTACTGAAACTAGCTCACGCAAGTTTGTCTTTACAAGTGATGAACATCTGGTAGAGGTGGGCCGGCATCAGTTAGTTTAATGTACTCTGTTTTATACCACTACATTAGTAAAGTCTGTTCAGGTTCGACGAAGGTGCTAGCCGCTAATACCTTGGGGGGCAGAGCATTCTAAGCACATATCTTTTCTTGAAATGGAATTTCTGTAAACTATATTTTGTTAATATTGAGTCAAGAACCACTATCATAAGAAGTCCCCTTTAGAAGATGAGTGCCAAGTCAGACAGGAGGACGAATTAGGGGCGCAGGAATATTAACTTGGCAGAACGGTCCAGTTAGGAACACGCCGTTTGTTTACAACACGAACTATGCTCACTCGATCCACCAAAGTGGAACGTTGGGTGTGTCCTTTGGAAGAGAGCATTCCAGAGTTTCAGGATCTATTTCTTCCAGGGTCACATTCCAGAAGCCCAATAAGGCATAAATTGACAAAATTTCTGAATAGAATTCTATTGAGAAGTCGGATGTGAGATCATACGAGCAGTCTCGAGGAGAAACAAAAATACAGCTGCAACAAAAATCCGAATCTGGCACTTCTTTTCTATGGGGCAATGTACATATTCCTTTCATATTTTGAAGAGCTTTTCGGAGTCAAAATTTCACGGCCCATCTTTGTTTCCACACATAGTACATACAGAAGTTTGAAACCGAGCGTGGCATATAATACCTGTAACTTACCTGGTCGGGTGTGGGATTTTATCTTCATGTTGCGGCGAGTAGCGGAAACTAATATAGTATTTCCACCCCTCAGGAGATTATTGTATTTCACCACTAGCGGCACCCCCGCGTTCAAAAATGATGAGATTTACGGCTCAAATGGTAATTACACTCTAGTTCTCTTCGGATGAAGGGGCGTGTCAAGCAGTGTGAATGTCCCCAAACACGTTCTTTGCCAGTTGTGAAGCGGTTATTCGACAGTAATTGGTAGAAAACTTGTGATACGAAGGATATGATAAAGTCTTGTCTTTTGCTGGAGACGGGTTTAGTATCGCGCCAAACTCATCCCCGCCTGAGCCGACGCCGAGCCCCTTACGTCACACAGCGAACTAGATCATAAGAGGTACAATAAAGTGAAAGCCATTGAGCAGAAAAAAACAGACCGAAGTGTCTCTACTATATAACCCTAATGCCGGAACCGACTTTCATAATCCGTTGAATAAGTGAAGATAAGGCATGATTTGTGGACTATCCGCACTTGTTGGTGTCAGGGTGCTTTCTCGTCTCTCTTCTACTCCACTTGCTGAGGCGCAGTAAAGAACATAGCAATCGGAATGAGAAAACGACTGAATCAGAACTTTAACGATTCCAGTCTTGGTCACATGCTTCAACATCAGCCTCGGAGCAACGTTTTGGCAGCCAGTCTGCAAACCCGTATGGCCACCTGTTATGCCCTAATAGTCCGCAGCCATATATACATGTAGTACCTCTTTGAAGCGTACCATGCCTTCAAACCACGCCTCGGTACCGCTTATTCGAAAAGCGAACCTAACAAGGGAATCGTTTTTTGAATGCCATCATGGAAGAGACCTAGGTACATCGATAGAGCCTCGAATGCTGATTACGAATATGCAGATTAAAAGTGCTACGGGGACCTCCCAGACGAGATCTGGGTGGTCAAAGTTTGCGAAAAGTCAGTTTTTGGCTCGCCAAGAGCGCTGTCGATCGTTTGGACGAGTGTACCGTGGCCTAGTGTTAACGTTCTCGCTTCAGATGCAAAAGCTTGTGGGTTTGCATCCCGTTGGCGCAAAAGTTTTTGCTTCGTCTCCTAGAAGTGCTTTTACTCGTAATTTTCGAAACTTCCTGGCCGAATTTTGCCCCATCTGACAATCTTGAAGTTTGGCGATGAACTCGTTGCCTGGGGTATTTTGATGCCCAACCTTGAGCGTGACGAATATCCACGATCCGTTTTTCACGGGAAAACCGCTTTGGTAACTTTCCACATTCGTAGGTCGCTGTGGCTTCTAACTGATCTGCCGAATTTTTGATAGCCCTTTGCGAATTGTCCTTATGGGTAAGGAGTTCAGAGAGGGCAGGTATGACGCAAATCCACACTACGATCGTGTAGCCGTCATATAGTGCCCGATCCTACATCATGAATCTGCCTCTGCGTGTGCCGTAAAACTCTTTCGGAAATTCGAATGGAAGGAGCTCTTATAGACGAAGCAAAACTTTCACGCCAACTGGGAGTCGAACCGCACGGCTATTGGCTTACAAAGGCGGAAACCGCGTTACCAACTTGGCCACGTCGCACGGTTCAACGATCTGATCAGCAGCGCTACGAGACAAACTGTGTTTTCCGGCGAAAGTTGACCACCCATCATCCGTCTGGGAGGTCCCCGTAGCACTTTTAATCTGCATATTCGTAATCAGCATTCGAGGCTCTATCGATGTACCTAGGTCTCCATTCAAAGTTCCATGGGAACTTGAAACCATTCCCTTGTAAGCCAAACAGAGGCCGAAATAAGCGTGGTCAAGAATGTGATGAACAACGTTTCATGTAGTTGTTATATTCGGTACTTGATATACCCTGGAGTGAAGATTACAGTATTTCAGAGGTGGAACGTTGAATCGGATGCACGATAGGATGCGTGTCGTCTTCATAGCCATGGGAGTTACTTGTTTCTTTGTGCTATTCTATTATGTCGAGGCGGAAAATGCGAAACGAATCGCTCGCGACCGTGACGCAGGAGTGATTGTGAAACAAATGTGATCTAACTCATGCATTATCACGTGGAATTTTCTCGTAGAAAATTCGTAGGTGTATGATTGGTGTTTGTCTAGGCGCCCTTCACACTTTGGAAGTATCCATCGTGGTAGTGGTGGCGACGATGATGGAAGTACATTTTCACATCATATCGAACAATTCAATACTACTTTCGGTTGTTATAGTATGAGTTTCTTCGATAACTAGACATTCTTCTCACTTCTTATGATCCTTGTACAATATTTATTTACTTCTAGTCTGGTACTAGTTCTCCACACAGGTTTCTGCCTTATATTTCATAGGATACGGTTCAAGGGGTGATGCGTTCTTGTGACATACACGATGTACTTTGTGAACGTTGATAGGGTGCTGTACTGTGCGAGTGACATAAATGTTTCACGGCAACGCTTCACAGTTAATCAGCGGTTTCGCCCTGAGTTTGTACCTCCTGAAGGATACCTTCTGAATACCTCCTGAACTGCTGCTTGACACATCTCTTCTGAAGTAAAATGATATTTCCTTCCAGATGGGATTCTTCCGCGAAGTTTTCATGCATGCTGCAGGTGTAAAAGATTATAAGGTGCGGTGGCGTTCTGAAGTTTTCGTGGATTTCGAGCTTTCGATCCTTTTTGACTCATCATCATTTATTAGGAACCTCCGAAGGGCTCGTATGAGTGGAAACAGCAGCATTTGGCTCCTGAACAAATGAAGCGGACTATGGACAATAAAGAACGATTCAGCGGTGTAAGTAATTACGGTTTCGTTTCTTTTGACAGTGTTCTGTAATATCATATTCCTTTGAGAAGTAGTGTTTCGTTTTGTTTTTCAAGAGTTTCCATTTGTTATTGATAGAAGACTACACCTTGTTTTTCTATTTTTTCTAGTTTTCAAATTGTCCTCAGCGTTAATCCCCCGCCCGTTACGGAGTGCGTTTTTTTCTGAACATATTCACTTTTTCCTACTCGAGTCATCTTCTGTCTATAGTCGTGACTTGGTGACGTTCTTCTGTCTCTTCTTTGGAGCCTTCTATGGACGCTTGCTCAAAAAATGGAGCCCAGTGGTTTCCTGATCGAGGGTGCATACATTTACATGCTTTTACATGCAGCTCAAGCTTTCACAGCTTTCACAGCTTAAAAAATACGTGAGGAAAGCGCGAGGAGGTCATTGCTCCGCCCATTGGTCACGGCGACGCCCTACTTCCATTTTTGACTGCTTCTTAATGATGCGGTTGTTCCGCTAGTGACTCTCTCCATTTCGAATGATGACATCGAGCCGTTTCTTCGCTTATGCATGTACAAGCATGGTCTAGCACAGGGTTTTATAGGGACATTTCGGGCGGGTTTCTTCTGCTTTTTTCTTCACTGTTGTGTTATTTGCCATATTGTCATTAGTCTTTGAGCCGTACAACTCACCTTTGAAGGCTGGGCTGCCTTTGAGCACGCGCCGTCGCGGAGCCGCTTCGCTCAAGCTGTTCACTTTTTCTTAAGTGAGTCATCTTCTGCTATAGCCGGGGCTTTTGTGAGGTCCTGCTTGATGATCTCCTTCCATTTGTTCGTTGGGAACCTGTAGGCTTGCTCATCCGGGGCTGTGAAGTCCAGGATAAGCGAGTCATACCTTCCTCTCATGGGGTATCATGCTTCTTTTTTTGAGTTCTTGAAGTTTTGTCCAACTTCTAAATCTGTAATATCTCAGCAGTAATGTTGACGTTTGGTGCTTTTTTGTACCACGAGCATATTTTCATAATTTTGACACTTCTGAAGAATTCGTTTGAAAGCATTGCCCACTGAAAGTTTCCTCGCTTTGCTGGTTTTTAATGACGCTTTAAGTAGCCCTGGTTGTGTGAGAGTAACTTTAGCGCGATTGAAGTTTCATCATATGATAGAGTCCCCATCTACCTCTTTTCGATATTCATAACCTTTTACCTCTAGTCTTGACCGCACTTTTTCCAATGAAGTGTACTACTGACAAGAATGTTGTGAGGAAGGCTATCAACAGCCCCAAGGGACTCCATTTCCCATGCGCTCATTTGGTCCTTCTGTTTCTTCTTTATTCTGCATTTTCGTCGCATTCCACGGAAAGCTCACGGTGAACCCTATACTTAAATGCTCTCCCCTAAGGTGTTCATTTATACTCTGACCTTACCTCTATCGAAATCAGGGAGGGTGTTGATGCTGTACAGTCACTTACTTTTATCACTGGTACCGTGATTTTCTTCCGTTTTTGACAGATTGCAATCCTTTCAACAATTTTTTTTCCAGGATAGAGATAGAACAACCGAAAGGGCGCTGTCCGGCTTTGGGGGAGGGGGGGGGGTAGGGGAGGGGCATTTAGCACCTTGACTGTGTCAGTTTACAGGTCTAACATGTAAACGCTTGTGATTTTTTGTGATGTTGGAAGTGGTGAAATTGGGCCACTTTGGTCACAGGGTTTGCACCTCTTCACCAAGTGGCTTGTAACAGCTTCACTAATGATATATAGCATTTGGTGCATCCCAACTAGCCGAGCTGCGATCATGCGAAGGTGTTATTCTCGACTGAAAACACCTACCTTTCATTTTCTTGCTAGTCTGTGGTTTAAGTTATTTTGTTTATTTTTTTGTGCAGATCCCCGCTATTCCGTCTGATATCGGCTATAGCAGTGGAAAGGAAATAGAGGGCAAGAAGAAAAGCGGTGTGATCTCTCAAGCAACGAGTAACCCTGGTGTAATCCTGGGAATGGGACTTACTTGCCTTGCCTTGCTTGGCATGTTCAAGTAAGCTGATATTTCATTACTATTGATTTGAATATTTATTGGTCTGATTCCTTCTAGGTCCTCTTTCGTTGGTGATAAAATAGCCGCTCAGAAGTATATGCGGTACAGAATTATGGCTCAGTTCTTCACTGTCACTGCTCTGGTAGCAGGAGTTACCATTTTTGGAGCCACTTATAAAGACGACGATCAGAAAGAAAAACCAGCACATGCTGCAGTATAAACGGTAGATCTCATGGTGTGCTTTCACATTTATGACCTCTCTGTACTTAACTTTTTAATTTTCTTCATCTAGTTATAGACTGGCAATTATAGGCTATAGACAGTAGAAAATGGTTTAGGTTCGGTGATTTGACCGCTAGTCAGATAGCTATTTACTGCTGTGTTATTTTTCTAGTACATTGTGTTACTTTCAGACAAATATTCTTCGTTTTATCGCGAGTTGTGTTTCAAAATACCTTATTTGCCTTTCATTTGAACACGCGATGTAGCTGTGCTATTCTCACGAGTTATTATTAAGTATACGTTTTTGTACGTTTACGAAAGTACTACGAATAAATTGTGTTCATAAAAGACTTGTGTGCTTTGACATTCATGAGTGTGCCATATGTATTTCGTACTTTTTGATGTTCGGCAATGTCACGTTTTTACGTTCACGTATTTTTTTTTGTTCCAAACTCGGCTTTTGGCCCTTCCTCCTAATTCAACCACTTTGACCCTGCCACCTCATCAGAATCATTCTTATGGTTGGAAACTTGGGGTGATACAGCTCTTTTAAGGATCTATCGTATCGCGTTGGTGGTTCGTGGCGAGCAACCCTACAGCCGAGTTCTCCTGTGTGAGGGTTTGAATGTCAGTCTTAAATGGAGCAGGAGACTCGATATCTCCATCATGGGGTCTGACCTTGCTCGAATGCATATGTATTTCCCTTCTGAAATCCACAAATTGAGGACTTAATGTTGAGAAGAAGTTGATGTAGGTATTGAGAACCACATATGGCCGCATGATACGCCGCGCGATGACGCGACAGATAACGGTTGTGTTGTCCGTCTCGCCATAATGGTGACCCATCAACCATTAAACGACCTTTTTAGAGTAAGTACACGTAATCAGCATTGATTGACTTTCTCCTCAATTAGATTCCCTCCCAATATTCATCGGGTGGAAAGTGGAGAGGTGCAGTTGATATCGTCGCAATCAGTCGGGGCGGTGTCAAGAGGCATGGAATCAGCCCATCCACGAAAGTTATTTGTTTTGTTAATGAATGTTGGTTCTTGTTGTTGAATCTGAGCCGGTGTCGGATTCATTCCATCTCGACGGTATCAGTTGTACACAAATCCGACGGCAGAAATGGAATATTCAGCTGTGGCACGTACACGCCGCCTCCCCCTCCGCGAGCAAGGGTGTAGCTCAGGCATATCGCGCATCGAAACGTGGGCGTTGAAGAGGGTGACATGGGGCTCGTTCTGGCGTTCGGGTAAATCTTTCGCTTTGAATGCGCCCCCTTAGTTTTTCACGGGTCAGGCTCACTCACGAACAACCATCTTGCCATTCTTTTCCAATAATTTGCTGTCGAGCCAAGGGAGAAGGGTGGACACCCGCGATCAATATCAAAAGTATGTACTTTTACGGCGCAATGGGAATTACGATTATTGAGAATCATAGCGAGCATGAAACGGGCAAATTAACAACCAGCAAAAGAAACTTCCATAGCCAAGTATGAATACTCTCCAGGGACCAACACGACCCTGGACGGGGATGCACAGCGCACGACGAGATGTGATTACAAGTAACATCACGTGTGCAGTATTCACATAAAGACCGGCCTCCAACCCATACATACTCCATGGCAATGCTGAAGCGTGGAAAGTCGGCTAACTGGGGATACTAGGCTAGTTTGTGCGCAATGCCGCTCCTCAGTCATCTTTACCTACACCTCCAGCCAACTATCAGAAAAAATTGCCACTGCGTTGGCGCTAGTTAGGGGGTCCATGCAGCCAGCGCACCTGAAAAGGTGGAATCAACAATTAGAAAAGTACGACTAAAGCCAAATGCTACCCTTTGCGTTGTGGATTCCGTAATCAGAATACGCCTTCTCTGAGCCTCTGAGGCTTGATGAGCAAATGTGAAACAACAGCAGATGGCGCCTTTACTAAAAGCCCGGCCCGAACAGGATCCAACTCATACCAACCGATTATTTCCTGTATATGGGATTTGCTGCGTACATATTGAATTTAGGAGAAGAATAGTATTGATCTGTAGATGAAGTGGCCCGAAAATCCCTGTGTGGGCCGAATACGTTCAGGCTCCGCGAAAACGTCCGATGGAATTTGAATGCCAGGGCGTTCCTACAAAGGTGACTAATGCGTAGCGTTCTTGCTGATTTATGGTTCCTCTCAAAAAGTTGTTGAGAACGTGCTATGTGTAAACCCCTTCGGTACGACTTCCACGTGAAACAGAAGATCCCTGTAAAGGGAATAACGAAATCTTATCCATGCACCGTTACGCATACCCGTCTCACACGTGTGATTTTTCGAAGCCTGATTATCAGCGAGTGTTCAGGGCATTTGTGAGAAACAATTTAGCTGAAATTCGAGAATGAGCTGATGACAAACGGAGTTTTTCTGGAGGTTTTACTAATTACTTCCACCGTTTTGGAAATGAATTATGACATTCAGAAAGGTTGTAGCAGTTTTTGGTAGTCGCGCAAGAAATGCTGGTTCAGAAGGAGCACGTCGCTCAAGAATAGGTTAATCAGTATGGAAGCAAGAAGACTTGGACTACTGACTCTTTTCATACAACAACGGCGGGGGTGGTTTAGTGGAAAGTCCCACCGCTTCCCATGCACAAGTTCCTGAAGTCGAATCTTTGAGCGGCTCTCTTAAGGGAACATCAAGCCGCCTTCCTTCCGGGGGTAAAAGAAGACACAGTTGTAGACTTGACTCACCATACGGTCAGCTGGACTGTAGTTTCAAGTACAGATGAGTTGACTGTTAGTAGGGAGAGCGGAATGGTTTGAGAACTGATGTGAGGGCGTCGAGATCCACTTAGTTCGAAACAACTCATCCCGCTGCATATAATCCGCTAAGTATGTCTGTCTGTGTGCGTGTGTGTCAGGAAATTCATAGCGCCAGTCCCAGCAACAGTGGGACGTTGGTTCTCAGAAATGATATCGGAGCTGCGACAAGAATAATTGACGGGTGACAAGAAGTGATGACGCTGATAAGATCTGATAAGGAACGTTAGAAGGGGAGAGCCACAGCAGCGGTGGTACATTGATTCCAAGATATGATATGGGGTAGGGGACAGGAGCATTATTCTTGGCTGACAGAGAGGAATAACAACTGATAGGACCTGATTCATGACGCGCGTCACAGAAGAAAGTTGGTTCCAACAGGAAATATTGGGTATGTGATGGTTGACAGTAAGTAACAGAAAAAGATGTCAAGTGATGAAGGCTGATAGGGCACGTTGCCGTGGTTCTTCTTAAAGTTCCCAGTTTAT